GAGATGGATTGGCCAGGTGGCATCATTGATGGACTCAAGTGTTGCAGCGGTAGTGAGGTTGGCCCAGGATCGGACATTGTTTCATTCTGCTGTGCATGGGGTCGCTATGAGTTGGTTCCGACTCGACGGCACCTGACAACAACAACAACAACATTAAAAAAGAGAAAGATCCTATGTATCAATAACAGTCGTGGACAACTCGAACAAACAGAAAAGGAAGAGTAAAATAAGACCCCAGCTCTACCAGAAGAAAGGAATAATAAAGATAAGAGCAGAAGTTCAAGAAATAGAAAAAAAGAAAACCAATAGAGAGAATCACTAAAACCACAAGCCCGTCCTTTGAAAGGTCCCTTGGCTGGACTGACAAAAGAAAAAATGAGAAGAGGCAAAAATCAAAATAAGACATAAAACTGGAGACATCATAACAGAGATAGAGAGGATCGTAACAGAATTTTTTCATACTATGAAACAATTGTACTCCAGCAAATTTGAAAACCTAGATAAAACAGGTAAATTCTTAGAAATATACTATCTCCTTAAACTAACACAAATAGAGATAGAAAATATAAACAGATTCATTACAAAAGAAAACATTGAAGATAGCATCTAAAAACAGCCAGTAAGAAAAAAAGCCCAGGACCAGATGGTTTCAATGGGAAATTTTAGAAAGCATTCAGAGACAAGTTGACACCAATTCTATTCCTACACTTCAAAAGCATAGACAAAGAAGGAATACTCCGTAACTCATTTTATGAAACCATCACTACCCTGATACTAAAACCAGGCAAAGACATCATAAAGTTAGATCACCAGACCTTTATTTACTGAGGCACCTCTGAAAAATCTCCAATTTTCAGTTAGCAGTCAAGCACCGTAACTGTTTACACTATCTACAAAAGTCTGTACAAGAATGTTGAAATATTTTTTATGAGGTGGAGTGCCACCATTTTCCTCTTAAAGGGGACAAAACAATGTTTAGGTAGGGAAGGACTAGGTGCAAATCCAAGGACCAGGCTAATGGACCAGGCCTGCCATTACAGCTTCCATCCCACTCTGGCTTTCACACACTAGGCTGCCAAGCTGTTGTCCCCAAATGAGATGGCTCTCCAGATGATGAAGTGGAAAGCAAGGCTCAGAATTGTGTGTATACTGAAAACTGCTTGAATAAATAAGTGGATCATAAATAGAGGATTTGCCTAGAGTAAAGTCCCCTAGAGCAGAGACCTCAACTTCTTGGTAAATAAGTTAGGAAAACTTTATTTTTATCTTAGTGAAAGACACAAAAATTATAAAAGTAAGTAAATCTTATCTTGAAGTTAACAAAACTTGGTTTATATTTTAAGTGCATGCCAATTCGCGTAAGAAATAAAGACTGTCATTTTTTTGAGAATATGTGATTTTTGTTTAATGACTGTATGACAGCGCAACAAAACATATTAAGTTCCTTCAGGTTTGTCCTTTCAAAAACATTCAAGGGCTTTATCAGTGTTCAGTGTTAACTCTTTGGTACATAAAACATTCTTTTTTCTCCACAGAGTTGTTAATCTAGATGACGTTCCCTTCTTAGCAGCCACCTCCTCATGCTACATCACCGACAGAGGCTCCTCAGGTACAATGTCAGTGCCCTCATGAAATCCTACGTTTCCCCCAAGATTTTGTAACTTTCCTATGCAATTCATTTTCACTGTATGTGTATGTTATTTGTTGTTGTTAAGTGCCATCAAGTGAGTTCTGACTCATAGCAACTCTATAGGGTTTCCGAGGTAGGTTTGAACTGACAACCTTGTGGTTCAAACAGACCTTGTGGCCCAGTGCTTATCCTACAGCACCACGCCAATACTTCTTGTATATTATTATTACATGTTTAATGTGTAACCATCAGGGAGACACCAAGAAAGACACTAAGCTAAGATAGAAAGCTATATACAAAAATTGAAAATAAGCGTTTAGAAACATTTGTAAGCAATTTGACATTGTTCTGGTATTGTTATTGTATTTTTAAAAGGATAGGTCCACAACAGTTTGGAAATGTAAAAAACCTGTTCTTCATCACTGGTAGTTTGAGAAGCACAGCTCGAAAGAGTGACGGGAAGAGAAACTGTTGAGTGGTAAGGGGTAAATATCTTGCGTAGAACAAAAACTACTGAATTGTGTTCCACAGCAACAGCACCAATGCCCTGTAGTGCTTGAGAGCCTCCACTGCTCCATAGCTACTTCAATTCTTGGAAATGTCAGACTTTTGTGCTGGGGAATTACCTTTTGTGGCATTCTTTTTGGTGTTGTTTTGTGTTTTTACCTAAGGGCTGACACTCAGGTACCCACCTTTCCCCAACTGTCCACCACTTCTCCCGATTGTGTTGACCAAGTAGTCAAAGGCCATCTCCTTGGCGTTGAGATGGAGCAGTTGGCTGGCCTCCACAAAGCGTCTTGTGACATCCAGGGGGTTGGCACCTACTAAAGGAATCATCAGAGGCAACACATTTTCCTCCAAGTATAGGATTGGTGCTTGTAGACAAGTACCTCCTTAAATGGCCCAGGATATAGTGTAGAGGAAGATGTATTCCCTGAGTAAGCAAGTTTGTAGGGACTCCTAATGAAAGGGGTCTCAAACTCTCAAGCTCTCAAGACCTGTCAGGGGCCCTTTGCTCTCTGTTCCCTTACCTATTTCCCCTTCTCTATTTCTACCCATAGGCCTGCTGCTGTTGTTGTTAAGTGCCATTGTGTTGGTTCTGACCCATAGCAACCCTGTATAGGGTTTCCAAGGAGCAACTGGTGAGTTTGAACTGCTGACCTTGCGATCAGGTGCTTTATCCTACAGTGCTGCACCAGGATTCTAGCCATAAGCCTGTACCCATTGCCATGGGTCAACTCTGACTCACAGCAACCCTATAGGAGAATAGAACTGCCCCATAGGGTTTCCAAGGCTATAAACCTTAAAGGAAGCAGACTGCCACATCTCTCTCTTGTAGAACTGTTGGTGAGTTTGAACTACTGACCTTTTGGTTAGCAGCTGAGTGCTTTAACAATGACACCACCAGAGTTCTTCTTATTGTTGTTGTGTGCTGTCTAGTCAGTTCTGACTCATAGCAACCCTTTATAGTGTTTACAGAGAATGGCTGGTGGGTTTGAACTGCCGACCTTGAGGTTAGCAGTCCAGTGCTTATCCTACAGCGCCACACCACAACTAGCTAAAATAATACAGCATTGAGAAGGCTTACTTACTGATGCTGCTCTAGGTCCTGGGATGACATTCTCATCTTGGACGCTATCTGGTTCTGGGTCAACTGGGCTTTTGCCTTGCTACCTACCAATAGATCCTCCTGAGTCACACACCTCCATTCTTCACCTTCTGGTGCTGTGTCTGTTCCTCTGAATAATTACCACCAACTCCCCACTCAGTGTCTCTGACCTCATACTCCTCTTAACTGCTTTTATGGATTGCCCTGTGCTCCTCAACCCATGTACCGATGAACACGGTCTTGCTGTGATATAAGGTCTTCTTTGAAGATGTCAACACTTCATGAGATCGCAACAGAAGAGGGCAGGTCCTAATCTCTTCCTTCTTAAAAGGGAGACAGAGTTCACACAGGAGGAGCTGTTATAGGAAGATGCATCTATGAACCAAGGAAAACCAGGAAATACACCAGGCTACCAGGCTCTGAAAGAGACAAGGAAGGATCTTCCCCTAGAGTTGACAGAGATCACGACCCTACCAATGTTCTGAATTCCACTTGGAGACAATACATTTCTGTTATTTAAAGCCACCCACCTGATGGTATTTAAGGTAGCCCCAGAAAATGAGGACCTTCCAATCTGGGTTCTCCAAAGTTGGAAGAATGGAAGAACAAGTGGGAGAAGAAAGATGGATGAGAGGATGGTTCTTGAGAGTGAATTTAATTCTTAGGAAGGAATGAAATTCCAAAAACATCTCCACAACTGCTACCTATTTGCTGCTCATCTTAACACACCTGTCAGAGTGGATATGGTGGGCACACACATGCACAGACCACTTCTGGACCAGAAGCTTCCAGTATCTGTTGAGCCAGCCTTACCCGATACAGACTCCACCATGGCCTTCATCTTCAGGGTGAGAAGTTCTGTCAGCAGGTGGATGGACTGCCGCTGAAATCTGTGCAAGGTCTCCCGGCCGGCGGTCATTGCATGCATCTGGGTAGGGGAGGGGGTGGAACGCTTGGCGGCACCAAAGCACATTGAGAGTAACTGAGGAGGTGGTCCTGGTGGTGGTGGTTTCTTCTGGGAGGGGGGCTGCACAGGGGTCAATTCCACAAGTGTAGGTGGTGGTCCCAAACTGATGTCCAGGCCTAAGATGTCAGATGCAGTGGGTATCATGGGATCGGTGATGAGCTCCTCCCAAGTGAACTCAAAAATGTTTCTGATGCCCTTGGGTACATGGATGCCTGAGTTCCGGCAGATCACGAGGAGTTTGGAAATCTGGGCCAGCAGCTTGGGGGCCACGGCTGAGTACTGTAGGTACAGTTCTCGGTTACTCTTCATGTCATTCATGTTGTTAGAAAATGCATCCTGTTAAGTAACACTGTCCATCTCGGGCAAGAGTAACCTTCAGCTATACAGGGTCAAAGTACTCTGAGAGGTGAATGAGATCAAACGTTTCTACCTAAGGTGACTCCCTGGAGACAGATGACTTGCAAGTGCTGAAATGACCCTTACAGGTCATTGAAATGGAGGTTCCTCTCCAGAAAGGCTTAGGAAATAATTGGTCAGAAGTGGGCTATGGCATGCTTCCTCTCCCTTTACTTCCCAGAGACCCCATCATACAGAACAGTGATACTGGGTGATTTGGGGAGGAGTCAGGTGGTGACTGTACAGTGTAGGGTTCCAAAAAAGTTTCCAGTGACAGTCACCCAAACTGAGTAATACCTACAATAGGACCCTGGTGGCCAGTGTGATGGGAGGGACAGGGAAAGAAGAGAGGTTCCACTGCACCTTTTGTAGTTAAAGATCTGAGGTTGGAAGGTCTGCTTGTGGTCTATCAATAAAAAACCTGTAAAACAAAAAGATGATTTATTGGCTCTCTCTAGAAGGAGGTGACGCTGAGGCTCCTGGATGTGATGTAAGAGTGGAGATTGAAGGATTCAACATCTACACCAAAGGGATATAGGAAATGATGATGAGGCCATACCTTTCTTAACTCAGTGACTGGGGTAGTTAACTACATTTCATCAAATCTAAGACACCATTGATTGTAAACTTCACCATCTTACCAAAAAAGGAAGAATGAATGCAAGATACCATTGACTGTAAGACATATCGTCGTGTCAGAGGACATACTGTGAAAAATGCAAACTTAAAAGTTGGCAAACAATAATCAGTGTCTTCCCACCTTACATAGAGTTACGTGAGGGCTCTGAGCACTCATCAAGGGGAAATGACCACCAGAGTTCAGCAGGTCAGTGCGTTAATTAGAGGCTAAGGGGTTTTCATCCTTCCTTATTTCTAAACTGTTTTATATTCTTAAGTTATATCAAAAATAGACCACTGGTTGAAGAAGGGAAGTATAAAGAACATTGATTATAAAATGGCTAAACAATTGTATTTATAGGTGGTGGTCCTAAAAAGATTATAAAAATGACCAAATGATTATAAAAATTGCTATCGAATGATTATAAAAATGACTAAACACATCTGCAAATGTTTTGTTGCCAGATCTGAACATGTCACTCATTGGATGTAGCAACATTCTTCAGGGATATATATCAAATCTCAAATACATTTATAAAAACGTAAGACCACTTCTTGATCTTATGCTACACAAAATGATGATTTTTGTCTTCTAACTCCTGAGCAGTGTTGTGAGAATATAAGCTGGGTGAGGAAGGCTCCCGAATCAGGAACACACAGGCCATGCCCTCCTCTGATGCCCTTTGCCAGCATCTTGATGCAATGTCAGCATATTTTTCTCTTGTTTAATTTCAAAGTCCCTGCTCTGGTAACCAGCACACCTGGTGGCCTTCTCAGTCAATGAAGGAGGACTGCTGACTAGTGGTTTCTGACAGTGGAGTTGTATTTTACTCCCTTTTACTCCTTCTCTTCCTGACAACACCCCTCCACTGAGTCCACAACCTTCTCCAGCCAGGTGAACCTCTTTCATTTCTCAGACCTGATCCTAGTCTGACATTCCAGCACAGCTTCCACTATGGCCTAACTTCAGTATTTACAGAGCAGGTGCATGGGCACGGTTGTGGGCAGCAACCCTATGAACCGATTGTATGGATGAGGACTCAGAGGCTTAGCAGGACCTGTCCACAGACTCTGGGTACAGAGACCCCTCTAGACGTGACACTAGTTCTTCACAGCCTTCCAGTGGACTCAGTCCACTATGAGCAACAAAATCTCCAAGTAACAAGAGCTACATACAGCATGCCCTCCTAACACCCATCTAGTGTAGAGATAAAGCAATTTCCTAAGTCTATTTGCTGACACTCCCCCTCCCTGCGCTCCCTGCCTCCCGTGTTTCTATCTTGCAGCTTTGAAGGCTCCAAGAAATAGATGCATTTTTTTCAATGATAATTCAAAGAACAAAGAAATCACTTGGAATCTCTGTTGGCTGGGCAGCCAGCCAGAGGGATCTGACCCTGACTGTCTAACTGTGCAGGGCAGAGGCTTTTTACTTTTTTTTTTTTAAAAGCCAGGACCCAGATCAAGAGAAGACAACTAACACAATCTTTCAAATGTCAGCTGTAGTTTGGGGATCTTCTTCCCACCCCCACCAATTCCAATCTTTTGAGATTGATTCTGAAAGTATGTCTTCCAAACAGATAAAAGCTTATTTATACCACAGCTTCCTTGAGATATTTTTCACATACAGCACAAGCCACCCTTTCAACATGTACAACAATGGTTTCTAGTATATTCATGGAGTTGTTCAATCAGCATTACCACCTGATTTTAGAATATTTTTATCACCCTAAAAGAAACCCTGTAACTATTAGCAGTCACAGCCCATTCCCCCCACCCCAGCAATCATGAATCCAGGTCCTTCCTCTATGGATTTGCCTGTTCTGGACATTTTCCATGTGGCCTGTCTGTCTTCTTTCATTTAACACTGTATTTGAGGCTTTTTTTCTGTCGTAGCATATCTCCGAACTTGGTTCCTTGGATTACAGAATAACATTCCACTGTATGACAAAATCACATTTTGTTTACTCATCCATCAGTTTTGAATGTTTGGAAATTATTAATAATGTTGCTATTTATGTATGTTTCCATGTGGACACATGCTTTCATCCCTTAGAGGTCTATAGAGATCATATAACTGAAATATAGATGCAAATATAGATATAAATATACAGATATAGGTAACATCATGATAAATGGAAAAAAGTCTTAAGTTGTAAAAGACTTAATTTTGCATGGATCCACAAGCATTTGACAAGTCTGCTGCATAAAGTCTATTTAAAGTGGTCAAAAGCAAATATATCAGTTTGAGGACAGAATTTGGCCTGACCCAAGCCATGGTATTTTCAATCACCTCATATGCTTATAAAAGTTGGACAATTAATAAGGAAGACTGTCAAAGAATTGATGCACTCGAATTATGGTTTTAAAGTACCGTGGACTGCTAGAATAAACAAATCCGTCTTGTAAGAAGTGCATCCAGATTGCTCCTTAGAAGTCAAGATGGTGAGACTTTGTCTCTCATACTTCGAACATACTGTCAGGATGTCCTTGCAGAAGGACATCATGGTTGACAAAATGAAGTGTCTGCAAAAAGACAAAGACCTCCCAAAGAGATGGATTGGCAACAGCAATGGGCTCACAGGTAACAATTGTGAGGATGGCACAGGACTGGGCAGTGTTTTGTTCCATTGCGCATAGGATTGCTATGAACTGGAAGCAATTCAATAGCACTTAACAACAAAACAACAACTAATCAATGTTGTTAGATGCCACTGAGTTGTTGTGACTCACAGTAACCCCATTGGAGAAAGACCTGCAGATTGCTTCCGTAAATATTATAGCCAAGTAAACAGTATGGGGCAGTTATGTATGTTAAAATATTCTCAATGGCAACAGTAATTAACAACAACAGCAACTAACGACTAATAAGGTCCCTTGTTACTGCAATTGTTAGATGCCATCGAGTTGATTCCAACTCATTCCGACCCTACGCACAGCAGAACGTCGAGTCATTCCAACCCTATGCATAGCAGAACGTCGAGTCATTCCAACCCTATGCACAGCAGAACGTCGAGTCATTCCAACCCTATGCATAGCAGAAGAAAACCCTGCCAAGTCCTGGGCCAATTTCACAATTGTCGCTACACTTGAGCCCATTGCTGTGGCCACTGTGCCATTCCACCCATCTCCTCGGGGTTTTTCCTCTTTTTCGCTGATCTTCCACTTTACCAGCATGATGTCCTTCTCCAGCATGATGTCACTTCTGATGACCTATCTGAAGTATAAGAGATGAAGTCTCACCATCCTGGCTTCTAAGGAGCATTCTGACTACTGCTTCCAATACAGATTTGTTTGTTCTTCTGGCAGTCCATGGTACTTTCAATGTTCTCCCCTAATGCCATAACTCAAATGTATCAATTATTCTATGGTCTTCCTTATTCATTGTCTAACTTTCACATGCATATGAGGTTACTAAAAATACCATGGCTTGGGTCAGATGCATCTTAGTCCTCAAACTGACATCTTTGCTCTTGAACACTTTAATTAGGTCTTGTATAGAAGATTTGCCTAATGCAATACATCATGTGATTTCTTGTCTGCTGCTTCCATGAATGTTTACTTCCAAGTAAAATGAAGTCTTCAAGAACTTCAATCTTTTCTCCATTTATCATGTTATTTCTTGGTCGAGTGGTGAGGATTTTTGTTTTCTTTAATATTGAGGTGCAACCCATACTGAAACTGTGGTTTTTTATTTTTTTTATCAGTAACTATTTTAGGTCCTCCTTCCTTTCAGCAAACAAGGTTGTTTCAGCTGCATATCACAGATTGTTAATGAGTCTTCCTCCAATTCTGATGCCACGTTCTTCTTCATACAATCCACCTTCTTAGATTATTTGCTCAGCATACAGATTGAATAAGTATGGTGATGGAATACAACCCTGGTGCACACTTTTCCTGATTTCAAACTATTCAGTGTCCCCTTGTTCTATTTGAACAACTGCTTCTTGGTCTAGGTACAGGATCCTCATGAGCAAAATTAAGCGTTCTGGAATACCCATTCTTTGCAATGTTATCCATACCTTGTCATGATCTACACAGTTGAAAGTCTTTGCATAGTCAATGAAGCACAGGTAAACATCTTTCTGGTATGCTCTGCTTTCAGCCAAGGGTCCTAGTATAGCACTGTAGGATAATCACTTGACCACAAGGTTGATTTGAAATGCAAGGTCAGTGGTTCAAGTCCACCAGCCTCCTTGGAAACCCTATACAAGGTCACTATGAGTTGGAACTGACTCAATGGCACTAAACAACAACAAACATCTTTCTGTATCTTGCTTTCAGCCAAAATCCATCTGATGCCAACA